CATGCCCAGCTAATTTACTTTTATTTTTGTAGAGACAGGGTCTTGCTATATTGCCCAGGCTGCTTAGAAACTACTGGTTTTAAGCAGTTCTCCCACCTTGGCTTCTTAAAGTGCTGGAATTACAGGTGTGAGCTACCACTTCTGGTCTCAAAGATTTTTAAATTTCTCTTAAGATGTATTCTTTAACCCATTTTTATTTAGAAACGTGTTTAATTTTCATATATTTGTGAATGTTTCAATTTTCCTTCTGTTATTGATTTCTGGTTTCATTACATTTGTTCAGAAAAGATACTTTGCATGATTTTAGTTTTTTTTGTTTTTGTTTTTGACGGAGTTTTGCTGTTGTTACCGACACTGGAGTGCAATGGCGCGATCTCAGCTCACCGCAGCCTCCGCCTTCTGGGTTCAAGCAATTCTCCTGCCTCAGCCTCACAAGTAGCTGGGATTACAGGCACGCGCCACCATAACCAGCTAATTTTTGTATTTTTAGTAGAGACGGGGTTTCACCATGCAGGATGGTCTCGATCTCTTGACCTTGTGATCCACCCACCTCGGCCTCCCAAAGTGCTGGGATTACAGGCTTGAGCCACCGCACCCGGCCTGTGTGTCATATTTTGACTGGCTCACTTCGCTTAGTAAAATGCATTTAAGTTTCCTTGGCATAACACCACATTGTCTGCATATACTGTTAGTTTATTCATTCATCTATGGAAGGACATCTTGATTGCTTCCAAGTTTTGGTAGTTGTGAATAAGGCTGCTATAAACATTTATGTGAAGGCTTTTGTGTAGACATAAGTGTTCAGTTCCTTTGGGTACATAACAAGAAACAAATTCATGTTTCTCAGGAGGACATTGTAATGATTGGCGAGAGACTGGAAATATTTTTGTTTGATTAGTTATGTGCATCTGCACAGCCCCTAATAAATCCTAACAGATCAAATGTACCAAAAATGCACATAAGCCTGATTTTTAAAAAATACTACAAAAGAGAAACAGCACAAATGCACAAAAGTTTCTCGAAATAAAATTCAAAGTTTAACAAGAAATGAAAGCCTTTCTCTCATCATAGAGCTAGGAAAGAAGAGACTGGGAAAAGATACACAAGGAGAATAAGGACTGTGAAGGTCCCACTCACACCAGGTAATCTAAGAGGTCATGTGCCTGCCCAGGCCTGGACACATACTGAGAAAATACCTAGAAAGACCCAAAGTTTTCGTGACTGGCTACCTTCAAACTCCACACAAGAAAAAAGTGAAATTGTAGCGAAGTTGTAAACCGCCTGGCGAGGCACTTAAAGAGCCTTCTAACATGCATGCAGACTCTAAAGACTGGGAGGCTTGTATTGTTTTGGTTTTTAAATTTCGGTTGCAGGCATTAGAAATATGTCCATCAAATAATTAATTGACCAATAAACTAAGGAAAGAGTGACCCCACAGAACAAACAACACAGTTTACGAAAACTCACCGACCAAGCAAACAACAGTCACGACAGGCATAGACACACACACACAACCACTGTGGACGCCGGAGAATGTGACACCCGGCGTCACCACATTCTAATAATCAAAATGTCCTGTTTTCAAGGAAGAAAAAGGAGATGTACAAAGAAACAGTGGCCTGTTCTAAGTGAAAAATAAATGAACAAAAACTGTCTCTGAGGACACAGACGTTGGACCCTAAGCCCTCAATTACCGTCGTCATCCTTACCATAAAAGTTCATTTGGAGGCCGGGCGCGGTGGCTCACGAGGTCAAGAGATCGAGACCATCCTGGTCAACATGGTGAAACCCCGTCTCTACTGAAAATACAAAAAATTACCTGGGCATGGTGGCGCGTGCCTGTAATCCCAGCTACTCAGGAGGCTGAGGCAGGAGAATTGCCTGAACCCAGGAGGCGGAGGTTGCGGTGAGCCGAGATCGCGCCATTGCACTCCAGCCTCGGTAACAAGAGCGAAACTCCATCTCAAAAAAAAAAAAAAAGGTCACTTGGAGCAGACTTGGATGTAAATCTAAGTTGAAGCAATTTTCGTAACTTATAAAAATGCCCCTTCCCTTACCCTAAAATGAAGATATTGTTCAGAAATGAGATATTTTGCTTCAGTAAGTGAATGCTCGAATGTCTCATCAGAAATGGGACCTTTGGAAAAACTACTGGATTCCTGGATTTTCCAGGAATTCAGTGAAGTCTTTCCACAGCCAGTTTCTTAATGTAAAAAGTGAGGGTTTCAAGCAGGTGACCTGGCTGGCTCTCCTGTGCTGTGACAGTCACGCACTCCACAGAGGCCTTGATCTCAGCTCTGCGTAGAGGCGGCTGGTTCCGCGTCAAGTCGTTCTACGTTTCAAGAGCCCCATGCATAGAAGGCTTTCCTTCACCGAGAGAGACTTTTCAAGTATTGTAAAAGCATAGGCCATTTTCGAAATGTTTAGAGGGATCGAAACTTTAAATTTATTTCCTGACTGAGGCTGAAACAGTTCTGAGAGATTTATCTGAAGAATACATTCATGTGTTAGAAAAGAGACACTCTCATAGATGAAGTAGACTTTCCAGAGGTTTAGAATGTTATTTCTAAGGAGCTCTATGAAACTGGGAGAATTCACAAGGCTCTAATAATACCATTTATTGAGATGGTAATTGTAGAAAAACTCTTGTTTACAATTTTACTGGAATTTTTTTAAGCTTCCTTTTTTTTAGATCCAGCTAAATTCTGTCCACCTGTGTCTGTGTGCCCTCCCTGCCCCCACTCGTGCTGTATGCACACACACTCTCACACATACTCACACACACGCATGTGCTCCTGCAATATCCTAAAAGCCGGCTCCTCGGTGTGCATTGCTTGTCAGAATGTCATCTTTCACCATCATCAGTGCAGTAGTTTTCAGAAGGTGGGCGGTTCTCAGGGCCAGACAGCTAGAATGAAGCCCACCGTGGCAGAAAGACTGGCTCTGATCCCTTTATAAGCACAATGTTGGCCAGGAAAGGAGGAGGAATGAACCAGGAGCTGGCAGAGTGCCTCCCAGGGCCTGGGGGATCAAGTTTCCCTAGGGTCTCCTGTGAGAGTAAGGGCATGCAATGGAAATGTCCGTTCTGGTGCCTGCAGTGGCCTCGTGGATTGGAGGGGGATGCCGGCACAGAGCAAGGGGCAGGTGGTAACTCAGACTCTCCAAGTGGTCAAGAACGCAGGCCATAGACTGACTTCCTGGCAGCCTTCAGACCCAGTGGGAAGCTGAGTGCCTGCTAGGGCTGGCGGACGTGGCAGTGTCTGACAGAAGGCAGCCCTCTCCACGTCCACGCCGACAATGGCATAGACTTGTGGGTTAGAATGCGTCACCGTGAGGGCTGTAAGCGCAGAGCTAGGGCTGCTGGCTGAGGTCTTCAGTAGCGCATCTGGGCGAAGATGTTCAAGTCACTTGAAGCACCCTCCCCCACCACCACCTGTCTGCTCCTGTGTCAGTTCCGAGTGTTACACCCGTGGCCACAGATGGTTAGAGCTGAGGCCACAGGCCAGCGCAAAGTGTGCCTCTCCTGCTCAGATGCCTTCTAAGTTGAATGTTTTGTATCTTCATCTTTCATTGTCTGTAATATCATTTATCTGAAATAATGGAAAGAAAGCTGAGAAACAGACGATAGGCTCCTTGTTAAAGTTTAGAATCATCCCTAATTGGTAAAGGTGGCAAGGAATGAAAGCACCAGGGTGTGGCGCCTCTGGGAGTGCACTGGCTTCCTACAGAGCAGAGCCCTGCGCATGCCACGTGTGGCGGTGCCCTTCAGAAACCACTGCAGCCAGGGCCAGGCAGCCTGGGTGACAGTCATGGCTCCACCACAGAGCAGCTGTGCGTTGTTGGCCCGATTCCGTAACATCCGCGCATCACTTTTCTTCTTGGTGAACTGGGGTGGTGATAGCACCAGGTTTCCCCGCACTGCTCGGCTGAGAGGAGTCAGTGCTGATAGAATACCTCACAGGCTGCCTGGCACACACACGCCAGCTCTGGCTGCCATCATTATATCGTATCGGTGACAGAGGTAGTGCTCGGTGATACTATAATTGGAAGGCTAGGCCTGGTTTAAGAAAATAATAATTAGGTTGTACCAGGAGATTGTTCTTTTGTTTTGTTTTGTTTTTTGTTTTGAGACAGAGTTTCGCTCTTGTTACCCAGGCTGGAGTGCAACGGCGCGATCTTGGCTCACCGCAACCTCCTGGGTTCAGGCAATTCTCCTGCCTCAGCCTCCTGAGTAGCTGGGATTACAGGCACGCGCCACCATGCCCAGCTAATTTTTGTATTTTTAGTAGAGATGGGGTTTCACCATGTTGACCAGGATGGTCTCGATCTCTCGACCTCGTGATCCACCAGTCTCGGCCTCCCAAAGTGCTGGGATTACAGGCTTGAGTCACCACGCCCAGCCGAGATTGTTCTTACATTACAGGTTCACTTACTATACAGTTTCACATTGGCCCATTACACGGTGGTTATAGCCAGGTTCCCGTCAAAATTTGGACAAATCGGAAAACTCTGCACCAAATGTACCACATGGAGTTATAAGTGAAATGGTAGATATTTGTAATTCTGTTATTTAAACTTTTCATTTATTTTCCTATACTCTGTGAATACATGTGCATTTATCCTACATTTACATTTTCAGGCTTATGAACCATTTTAGAAAATGGATAGGTTTTCAGCCTCGTTGAGGAAAGCTTTATAGATAATGCTCAGTAAGGGATAGGAAACAAAGAATAAGTAACTTCTAAAGGCATCTTAAATTGTTTTATAAGCAATTTGCCCTAAGCCACCGAACTCCCGAGTGGTTCTGATTTAAGCCTTGCTTCTGAATCAGACTCACCTACAACGCCTACTTATGTAATTTCGTGGGGACAGTTCAGATCATCTCATAAAAGACATTAATTTTTAAGAGTACTTAATACGGCTTTCTGGGACATGATGGCGGCTCAGTGAGCGGCGAGGGTGAGGGAGGCACTGAAAGGTCTTCGTCTCTTATTTTTCAGCTTGACCATCTCCGCAGAGTGCCCCATGCAGCTCGAGGACTTCCCAATGGATGCGCACGCTTGCCCTCTGAAATTTGGCAGCTGTAAGTTATTTTCACAAGTGAGATCCCTGGACATATACTTTGGGGATCAATTCCACATTTATTCAGAAAAATTTAGGCTCTGCATATACACAGGCAGAGCCTAAATTTTACACAGCAGGATGCAGTCTGTTGAAGAAGGCTGGAGAGTGTTTTGTTCTCCCCAGAAGAGCTTTCTTGTCTGTAAAATGGAGCTGATTGAATGATTTTTGCTCTTCATTCTGTTAATGTGGTGTATTACATCAATTGATTTTCATGTGTTGGACCTTCTTTGCATCCCAGAGATAAATTCCACTTGGTTATGAACTTCTTAATGTGTTGTTGAATTCAGTTTGTTGGTATTTTATTGAGGAGTTTGGCATCTATATTAATCAGGGCCACTGGCCTGATGTTTTCTTTTCTTGGAATACGTTTGACTGCTTTTCAAAAAAAGAATGCTTTTTAGCATTCTTTCAGCTCGAAAACTCTCTTTAGTATTTCCTGCAGGTCAGGTCATGTGATGATAAAAGGGTGTGTCTTGCCTTCATTTTTGAAGGAGCATTCTGCCAGGTATACTTTTCCCCCCCAGAATTTTGACTATGTTTTTTCATTTCCTGCTGTCCTGCAAGATTTCTGATGAAAGAAATCCATCCATAGTCTTATGACATGAATGCATATAACAAGTGGCTTCTCTCTGGCAGCTCTGAAAATTCGTTGTTTTGACTTTTGACACTTTGTTTATAATGTGTCTTGGTGTGGATTTCTCCGAGTTTGTCTTGTTTTGAATCTTCTGTACTTCCTAGATCTATTTCTCCATTTCCTTTCCCAGATTTGGAAATTTTTGGTATTTCTTTAAATATGCTTTTTTTGTTCTTTCTCTCTCTCTTCTTCTGCAACTCAGTATACATATTAGTCACTCGATGGTGTCCCATAAGTCTCTTAAGATTTCTTTTCCCTTCTTCATTCTTCTTTTTGCTCCTCTTACTGAATAATTCTCAGTGACCTATCTTTTAATTCATTGATCTTTTCTTCTGTGTAATGTAGTCTGCTGTTGAATCCCTCTGAAGATTTTTTTCAGTTCAGTTATTGTATTCTTTAGCTCCATGATTTCTGTCTGGTAATTTAAAAATATTTTCTTTCTCTTTATTGAAAGTTCACTTTGTTCAGATATTGTTTTCAGTGAGCATCTTTATGATGATTATTTTGAATTCTCTGTCAGGTGAATTATATAACTCCATTTCATTAGGATCAGTTTCTGAAGATTTATCTTGTTTTATTTTATTGAACATATCTCCCTGTTCCTCATTTCTTTATATTCTGTATTTGGTGTACACATTAAATGAAACATTCACCTTTCCCAGTCTTCACAAACTGGCTTTGTACAGGGAAAGACCTTCACCAGCCGGCCTCTGCCAGAGATTCCAGGGGCTTCTCTGATCTTGGTGCTAGTCCAACTCACGTTTTTTATTTTAAGCAGCTCCTAGGCATCTAGGGTATGCCGGATCCCACTAGCACTCAGAGACAAACAAAACTGAAATCAGTTCCTAAGGGAGCCCTCAGAAAAGCTGTGTTTGTGCACTTTCTGCATCATGTGATATAATCATGTGAATTTTCTTTAGCCAGTTAAGACGGTGGGTTACATACCTGCCTTGCAGCCCTGGAATAAACTCTATTTGGTCATCGCGTATAATTATTTTCATGTATTGTTGAATTCAATTTCATAATATTTTGTAAATGAGTTTTTGCATATACATTCACTTTCTATGATATCTTTTGTTTTGGTGCCAGGGTAATCCTAGCTTTATAAAGTGGGAAGTATTCCCACCTTTTTTATTTTCTGGAAAATACTGTGCATAATAGGTGTTGATTCTTTAAGATGTTTGTTAGAATTCTTCATTGAAACCATCAGGGAATTACGGTAACTGTTTAGGGATATGTTTATGATTTAAATTTTCTTAGTAATTAATGGTATTTGAATTACCTACTTCTTATTAGGTGAGTTTGGGTAAATTGTGTTTTTGAGAAATTGGTTCATTTTACCTAAGTTATATTAAATTTGTTTAGCGTTGTTCATAGTTGTTGTATTATTGTCTCGATGTCTGTGGTGTTTATAGTGATACCTCTTATTTCCGACGTTGGTCATTTGTGTTTTTCTTTCAGCAAGATTAACAGAAGTTTGTCAGTTTTATTGATCTTATTATTTGTAGCTCTGATTTCTCTCTTGCTTTTCTATTTTTTATTTCACTGATATCTGCTTTCATCTTTATTTTCTTTCTTCTACTTACTTGCATTTAGTTTGCATTTCCTTTCTTGTAGATTCTTAAGGTGGGAACTTAGGTTATTGATTTGAGACTTTTTTTTCTGTACTAATGTATTCATTTAATGCTATAGATGTTTCTATAGCACTTCCTTAGATGATTTGCTTGAATTTTTAATCACTGTATTTGCCTTTCATTTTATTGAAGGTATTTCTAAATTTCCCTTAAGACTTTCCCTTTGACCCACATAGTGTTTAGATATATGTTATCTAGTTTCCAAGTGTTCGTAGACTTTTCTGTTATCTTTCTGTCATTTACTTCCAGTTTAAGTCCACAGTATCCAGAAAATGTCCTCTGTATAATTAGAATTCTTTTAAATTTTTTAGGATTGTTTTATGCACAATATGGCCTACTTGATATTTGTTCTGTGAACATTTGAAAAATATGTGTATTTTGTGGCTGCTGGATAGATGGTCTACAAATTTTGATTAGATTCTGTTGATTGTGATGGTGTTGAGTTCTCCTCTATCCTTGATGATTTTCTGTCTCGTTGCTGTGAATCCATTGTTCATAAGGTACTGAGGTCTTCAGCTATAATTGTCTATTCGTCCATTTCCACTTTGAGGTCAATTTTTGTTACACATATATTTTTAGCTGTGTTATTTGAAGCATACACATATATAATTGTTTGTCTTCACTATTTAATGTTTCGCTCGTCTGGAAAGTTTTCTTTGCTTTGCAGCCCTCATAACTGGATATCAATATAGTCAGTCTTGCTTTCTTCTGATTAACATTTGAATGATAAGTATTTTTCATGTTTTTACTTTCAGCGTCTATATATTATTATATAAAAAGTGAATTTCTTATAGATAGCATAACTCAGATTTTTAAATTTACTTTCCCAGTCTTTGACTTTTAATTGATATATTTATACTCCTTTTATTTAATGTAACTATGTAAGTGTTGAAATGTTAAGGCTTCAGTCTGCCGTTTCTTTGTTTTCTTTTGTCTGACTTACTTTGGACATTTATGTTATCATGTGTATATTGTTGTACAGCTTTTCCAGTGCTTCTTCTAGGTATTACTTTATTCATTCATTAATTTAAGAGATGGGGTCTTGCTTTGTTGCCCAGGCTGGAGTGCAGTGGGGTGGTCATAGCACACTGCAGCCTCAAACTCATTGCCTCATCCAATCCTCTGGCCTCAGCTTCCCAAAGTTCTGGAATTACAGGCATAAGCCACTGTGCCTGACCAGTATTACTTTATTTTATTTATTTATTTATTTATTTAGAGACAGAGTTTCGCTCTTGTTACCCAGGCTGGAGTGCAATGGCGCGATCTCGGCTCACTGCAACCTCCACCTCCTGGGTTCAGGCAGTTCTCCTGCCTCAGCCTCCCGAGTAGCTGGGATCACAGGCACGCGCCACCGTGCCCAGCTAATTTTTTGTATTTTTAGTAGAGACGGAGTTTCACCATGTTGACCAGGATGGTCTGGATCTCTTGACCTCATGATCCACCCGCCTCGCACTCCCAAAGTGCTGGGATTACAGGTGTGAGCCACTGCGCCCGGCTCCAGTATTACTTTATATATACAAAGTTTATCACTGTCTACTCTATGCTCCTTTTGCCATTTCAAAAATGGAAACCTTACCTCCCTTTACGTCCCTTTACCTTTACCTGATCATAACACAGTTGCCTTAAATATTTTCTCCATATACATCTTGAGCCACATCAGAGAGAGTTGCAATGAGCAAATTTAATTTTGAAAACTCAACAGACAAAGGAAATTGTATTATATTTGGCCATATTTTTACTTACTGTGTACTTTTTTTCTTCTCGGTGTTCTAAGATTCCTTCTTTTATGGTTATTTTTCTGTTAAGCAAACTGTGTGTGGCCTTTATTTCAGGGTAGGTTTGCTGGCAATAAATTCTCTTAGTTTTTCTTCGTCTGAGAATATCTTGATTTCTGCCTTTGATTGCTGAAGGATATTTCACTGGGTAGAGGATCAAGCTTTGGCAGTTTCTTTTGGTACCTGAAAAATGTGCCACTTCCTTCTCACCTCCAGGTTTCTGATGAGAAATCTTCTGTCTTTCAAATCTGTTTTTCTTTACAGGTGAGGTCTCATTTGTCTCTCGTTACCTTAAGGACATTTTTTCTCTTTTTTTTAGTGTTCAGAAATTGGACTATGTCGTTGATTTGTGTAGACATATATATGGTATTTATAGGTTTATTCGTCTGTGCCAATAACTTTCTGGCGGGCTTGTTTGCTTCTGTAGAATTTGGTCGAGTTTGGGAAATTTTATGAATTAATTCTCTGAACGCTCTTTCTGGCCCAGCCAGTTTCTGTTCTTCCCTGACCTCCAGGACGCGGATCTCAGCTCTTTCATTATATTCTCACAAGTACTTGGCGACCTTTTCATCTTTATCTGTTTTCTTCCGTTTTATAGATTGGACAGTTTCTTTTGTTCTCTCTGCAGTTCACTGATTCTTGCCTTCGTCCCCTTCATCCTGTTTCGTTCGTCTAAGGAACTTTTTGATCATGCGTATTTTATTTTTCGGTTCTAAAACTTCATTTATTTTTCTCCTGTAGCTTCTTTTTCCGCGTCGAGACTTTCAGGTTTTTTAAAGTTTGTTGCAAGCGTGTCTGCAGTCGGTCGTTGCATGATGTCGCCACGGCTGCCTTAAAAACGCGTTTCTCCAGTGATTTTGACGTCTCTGTCGTCTCTGCTGTAGCATCTGTTCATTTATTTTTATTCAGTTTGATC